CCTGGTCGCCTTGGGCCCCTGGTCGCCTGGGGGCCCCTGATCGCCTGAGGGCCCCTGGTCGCCTGGGGGCCCCTGGTAGCCGGGGGCCTGGTCGCATTGGGCCCCCTGGTCGCATGGGGCCCCCTGATCGCCTGGGGGCCCTGATCGCTTTGGGGACCTGATCGCATTGGCCCTTGGTCGCCTGGAGGGCCCTGGTCGCCTGGGGCAGTGGGGCCCCTAGTCATCTGGAGGACCTGGTCGCCTGGGAACCCCTGGTCGACTGGGGGCCCCTGGTCGTCTGAAAGTACGCTTATCACCTGATTGATCCCAAATCATCTGAGTGGCTACTGGCTACTGGATATACATAAGTAGTGACTGGAGTAGGCACTCATCTGAAGGAGCCTATATCTTTCACAGTGCCGGAGATATCACAGAAAAACAAAAAGGCTAAACTGAATACCCCCCAACCTTGGCCCCAAAGGCGTCATTGGCTAACACAGGGATGTTGGTCGATTTGCAATCGCATTTCCTCCTAAGTCCTATTCCTCCAATTAATACAGAGTGTCCCAAAATTACCCAAGCATTTATTTTCTGGCTAAAAGTACAATTGCGCTCGTTTCCTAGTGAAACATATAATAACCGCGTTTACATAGGGCTAGTTGCCAGATAGTGGAATTCCGATAACGAGACATTTATTCCCCACTATTATATTATATACCTACATATCCGGAATTGGAGGATGTTCAGTAATTGAGACGCTCGCTCATAAAATGCCGTGCGTTTCATGCACACTCCTCAAGCAAAAATATTTTTACTTTCCAATTTTCCACATTTTCTCAAGGCTTAGACCGTTACAGAGACCGTTTTAATTGACTTTGATGAAATTGAACGCGAGAAATCACAACCAAATGCTACATTAGGTTGTAAAGAACTGAATTGCGTTTTCCCACACACGTGGCGTTTTCTCACCTACGTCTGCAGGAGAGACCGGACCCACTATGCCCCCCCCCCCCCCCCCCCCACCATCGAAAGGTTCTTCATGACTCCCGGGGGCCCCCGGGGAACCTGTGGGGCCCCTTCGAAAGCAGGTGGCCCCCTCCTGGGCGAAATCCTGGGTACGTGCCTGGCTAACGCTTCGGTCACCACACAAAAAGATGAAGCGTGACTAGCTATCTTGAATTACAGAGCCCGATCCGATTAGTTTGACGCACGAGTGAGCTCCCAATGCGAGCGTGGGTCTGCAATGCGCTGACATCCTCTCCTCTCCTCTCCTCTCGACAGATTCTGGCCGTGGCGGTGGTCACCTGCGGTGCTCAGCGACTGTGGCGCCACGGCGCGGACTGCAGTGAAACCTGCTCCGAGCAGACCATTGTAGATATCGCCACCACCTGCGCCGGAGGAGTCGACTTGCTGCTGCACCTGCTGCTGCTGCTGAGTCTCCAGAACGGGTGGCCGGCCGGCAGCATCGCCGTGGTCGTCTGGGATGCGTTCAAGGGCGCTGCAGCGGTGTACCTGCTGGTTAGCACCACCTACCGGCTGCACACGGAAGCTGAGAGTGTGCTGTTTGAACACTACGTCGGTATCGTGGCGCTAGTGTTGGCCCAGGGAGTGGTGCTTTACACACTGGCTTCGGCAGCGCACGAGCAGAGGTCGTCCAACAGAATAGAGGGAGACTAACTGCAGCGATTGTGATGCTGGTTCTATGATGAACGTGTGAACCTTCATTCATCTATTACTGAGTCATTTGATGGACGTCGCTCACCAAAATAATCCGTCAGTCGTCAGCTTTCTTTTTTTTCATAAATAGGTATTTTTGGTGCCTGACCCGGACTTTTGTCGTTATTAGCATACACTAATACTGGGTTAGTACACTATGTGACTATATACACGGCAGAGGTACGAAGCGCTTTCGGTACCCGCCAGGCGGAACAGCTTTGGCAGCACGCCTTCTTTAATGGCTAATGAAGTTTATATGTTGCATATCGTTATGCTGATTCGAAGGATGTGCCAACTGCCATAGAGTCGTGTTTATGCAAGGTTTTCACGGTTCGATAAATGTGTGATATGTGATTGAGTGGATAAATAGATGTGAGCCTTCTGCCAATGTTGGCAAGTGCTGTCTCTCCCATGGTCGTCAACAGGAGTTTATGATAGGCTTAAATGACCGTGGTTGGTAATTAATTCATACATGCTAGACAACCACTACCATTTTCATTATCTATCGACGATAACTGAACGGTCACCAGCTCTATAGAACTGAACTTCATCAACCTAACCGTTCTTGAGATATATTCGGTTGAACACGTGCGTACCTGGGTGTAAAATGAGACAACAACTGACTTGTTCAGGTCACCCAGGTACCACCTTTGAGCGCAATCGGCCTTGTTGTTCTCAAGATACACAAGCGGGTCCTGCACGTGCGCACGTGCAATAGCACCCCAACTACGACACCCGGAAATGCTGTGCCCGTTGGGTTTGGGACCTAAAGACAAGCCATGAGTTGCAGAGCCATCAGCCAACGTCCCAGTCACTGCGGGGTTTTGTGAGCGCAGCCATTTAGGCGCTCCTGATAGGGCATTTAGCTCGCGCCGGGACGCTTACCCGATATAAGAGTCACGTTAATTTTTAAAATGATGGAGTTATCTGATGCTGCAGACCGCTTGTAGATCGGTCCAATGGTTGTCAAGATATAAGGCTGGAAAAGGTTCCACGGGACCAACAATGTGCTGAATTTGAACGTGGCCTTTTAAATTTGAAAGTTAGTTTTCTTTGAGTGCGATCTTTATTAATTTGATCGTAAGTTTTCATTTAAATGCGATCTTTTTAAATCTAAATGTATTCTTTAATTTGAATGTGAGCTTTTTATTTTGAAGGTGACGTTTTTTATTTGATTGTGACGTTCTTTAATTTGAGAAATAACCAACCAACAACAACAGGGAATCATGCTAGATTCTAACAGAGGGTTTACATAGCCTTGTAACAGAGGCACCAGTACCAAATATGTCATCTATAGAACGACAATAAAAGTCAACGAACATTAGTAAAAAAAAAAACGGACAAGCTCAGTGTCCGCATCCCGGTCGGCACATAAAGCCAGCGCGGCCGGAACGGATTGCCCCGGGCTCGGCAGCGTTCCCACCATAGACCCGCCCAGAACACCGCGCCGTCAACCCAGCGGTGAGACACAAACCGTGCAGCGGGAGATGGACTGGAGCGTTCGTCACGCCGTGCCGTGATGAAGTAAGCGGCATATTGTACGACGGTCCGTTATCATCACCGTCTAGCAATTATCTCGGCACCGTGGCTGACAAACATACGCCAAAATGCGATATAACCGTTCTAAAGTACGCTAAATGACAACAAAACAATATGCTACCGAAAGGTGAAAACAATCGATATAGATGGGTATGACAAAAAATGATGTAACAGATACAAACAATTGTTCTTTACGGTACCTTGCTCCCTGAATCAAACTTCCTGAATTTCAGCCATCAAATTTATGAACCTTAGCCTGTCAATCAGTGCATTTCGAAACAGGTTAACGGCCACCCGCCACATTCGACACTTGTATCACTCTACAATAACCAGCAAACGGCATCACTCGTCCACTGAAGCATCATTAGCCGTGCGGACGAATGTAATGTTCCCTGGTTAAGCGGTGCGTTACCGACCGCCATGAACCGGTGCTATAAGTCACGGCTCGGAACAGCCGCCTCTGTCAACACTGAGGCACATCTGTCACTCGTAGAGGGACCATCAGTCACACCTCAACCGTACCATCAGTCACACTACCACCCAGCTGGTCCGCCTCACGACATGAGGCCGGTTGTAGGTGCGTCCGGCACGACACGTATAAACCTATAGAGCTGTGTGTACTAGTGGTGTCAATCGGAACTTGAATCTTCGGAATTCCGATTTTGTCCAATGTCCAATTCGGAATTTGGTTGGACAATGACAGCGGGCTTTGGACAACTTTGGACAATCGCTTGCTACACCTCAATTTTTTTTTTTTTATAAAGTAATCGTGTTTAAAGGGACCCTCCCACCTTCAAAAAAGTTTATGAATTGGCATGAAAGTGATGTCGCTCGGTTCAGAAAGAGCGAAAACGAATATCTACCAAATTTCACCGAAAAATATTCACCGGTTTTCAAGATATTAGACTTTTACTTTTGTTTACTTTTTGGGATCTCCGCTGTTTCTAGCGACTTTATTTTAGAAGTGCGGCATTTGCGGCAGATGCTGCGCGCAAATAGCATATACCACCGCGTGCTACAAAACGTTTTAGTCAAACATTTAAAAATCGTTAGATATCTGCGCTGACGTCACACATTCAGAGGGGTATTCCTAAGCATTAGCCCCTCTGAATCAAAATGCTGCAATTTTGAAATTCAATATTTCCGATTTAAGGCATTTCTCGATGTTGTGAGTGCCGAAACCGGTAATTGTGAGCCAGGGACCCCATTTTGGCTATCTCAACTCAAATCTAATGTTAAGGTGGGAGGGTCCCTTTAACATTGATTGGCCATTAGAAAGCTCAGTTTTCCATATGATTAACACTTTTGAGCTGGTAACGATACATTAAAAGCGAATTAAATAACGGTGTTGAGTGTAAACTATTGCGTAGATGTCGGACATCTTTGGACAAATGGCTGGCTTGGACATTTTTGGACGGACAGTCGACGTAAGTATTGGACATTGGACGGACATTAAACATACGTTTTCTGAAATTGACACCACTAGTGTGTACATATGTAGTCGCAGCACAGATATGGTCCCTGTGGTTGATCCCTGCAGATATGGGCACCACACACAGCAGCACCGTACGTTTATGTATCGTCTGACATCCACTGAGAGCAAAACGGAGTTGGTATTAGACTAGCCATTTAATCGTCAGTCGACAGTTGTGGAGGACAGCATCCACCCACAGCTATACGGTGCCCGTTTGTACTGAGTGGCGGGCGTTAAAAATGACCCTCCGACGGCACTGGCGCGGTGTACTGAAATCCCTGATAACACTCACTCACGCAGCCCTCCCTGATAACGCCCTTGATGACGTCACTGATGACGTCTCTGATGACGTCTCTGATGACGTCTCTGATGACGTCTCTGATGACGTCTCTGATGATGTGTCTGACGACATCCCTGATGACGCCCCTGATGACGTCTCTGATGACGTCCGATGCCGCCCGATGACGCCGCCGATGGCGTGGATGACGCCGTTCTCGGTGGAGATGTCCGGCAGCAGGACGCTGATGCCGTCCACCGTCAGATGCTCTAAGGGACCACACACAGACGGCTCAGGCAGTGTCAAGGGTCAAGGGTGTTCCTATCGTGGTGGCCGCTCGGTCATTTCCAGCACGTGACTGAAAAAGTCATTTTACCTACGACTAATTTATCAAAAGTAAGTCCAACAAGTTTCTATGAAGTTAAAGGTATCCGATTTGGCGCCTCGGCCGACTGACCTGGACTGCCGCTGACGGTGACCTGCGACCCGGCCAGGGTGTTGACCGGACCGGAGTCGGTCAGCCGGGCCGAGTACAGGCAGCCGGTGGCCAGGTGGCCGAGCAGGAGGCGCCTCAGCCGCCGCCGGTCGCCGAGCAGCCGCCGCAGCTGCCGCTCCGGGACGGTCGCGAACGCGGCGTTTGTCGGGGCAAACAGAGTTACCGGGCCCGCTGCCGGGCACATTGGGGGAGAGACGGTTATTCTGTGAGACATATTATATTGGGAAATAAAAAAATATGATTGCTCTAAGAATATTTTAGAACATGGAACTAGCAAAGCTAAAATATTAGACTGTGCCGTAACATATATATAGCGCTCACTTATATTGCTTAATTTAGCTAACTTTTCTAAAGGGACCGCTCCTGCCATGGACCTGCACCTTCGTCATGCTGGAGCTGGTCGTGCAGTCCGGCCAGTCGCAGCGTCTGCAGCAGCACGGTGAACCTGCCGAGCGGGTCGGCGTTGAGCGCGGCCAGCACGCCCGGCTGCGGCGGCGCCAGCACGGCCGACACCGAGAACAGGGCGCCGTTCTCTGCCAGCCGCGGCCCGGACACCAGGCGCGCCCCGTTCACAGTGGTGACGAGGCGCCGCCGGCCGCTGCTGGAGCTGGTGCTGGAGCTGGTGCTGGAGCTGGCCACGCGGTGCTGATTGATCCTCAGCCGTCCGCCGGCCAGTGTCCGACCCAGCACGTCATCCCTGAGGTCCTCCTCCAGGGTGAACCCACGCATCACGTGGTACAGCAGCAGCTGATTGGATAACAGGGACAAAACAAGAGCCGATAGTTGCACTGTACCGCAATAGGTGCAGGTGTTCACATATCGCGTAAATTATAGGTGTGAAGGTGAATTTGATTGAAAAGTTATGGATTGTGTATAATAGAAAATAATAAGTTAGGTATGCGGGCATACCGAGTACGCATAGTATATCCAACCAGTTGGCACTTGTACGGGTATAATGTACATTTAACCCTAGAACGCCTAGGGGGGGGGTTGTATCAACCCCCCCCTGAGGTTTTTTCGAAGTGCACGCTAAACGGCTTGTCGTAGCGGGCTGAAATTTTCAATACCCTCTGGGGCAACCTTTGCGCATCTTTTGCCGAAAAAAAATTGATCGGGTCATGTCAGGTCACGGAGTTATGACGTCATAAGAGGTACAGCCTCCGGCCGACAGTTACCAAACGTGTGCGCCGAATCCCTAGGTTTTCTGCCGGTGATACCCACATTGTTTGATGGATCATGATGAAACTTCCCATACATGTTGGGGCAAGCATTGGCTATCGTGTGGTGCAAGAAAATTGACCGGGTCAGGTCAGGTCACGGAGCTATGACGTCACAAGAGGAACAGCGTCCGGTACTATTTTTGAAAAGCGCCCGAACCACTATTTTGCTAATTCTTGTCACCTCAATGGGAATATGCAGCAATATTAGCTTCTATAGGGAGCAAATGGACCTCCCAAATCCAAAAATACAATCAGATTTCAAAAATTTAAATTTTGATTTTTCGAATTTCTGCCGCCGACTGTGACCTTGCCGACTTCCGGCGCTCCCAACGCGCCATTTTTTAGAGCTAGGGAAACGAAATACATACCAAACGATAGAGAATTGATCAAGGAACACGATAGTGAAGGTTTCAAGTCGATATCTACCACCGTTTTGCCGCAATCGCCGCGGAAAGTTGAAAAAGTTTGATTTTTTTCGGAAAATTTGACCTTTGACCGGTCATAAGTAGGTCAAATGTTGACCTAGGACCAAAAAATATACCACCAATCGCGAGATCTCGTTGAGAGCAATCCGTTGGTTTTTCCGCTAAGCTCTACGACCTTCCGTTTCGAAACGCCAGGGGGGGGGTCGTCACACCCCCCCCCACTGGTCGTTCGTGTTATGAGAAATGGCCTGGTCGTGCGAGGGTTAAGCTGAAGCAAAGTCATGCGAGACGTTACCTTGACAAGATTGGGTTTGCCCATTTTTTCTAACATCTGCTGTGGTCCTCCAAGTCGCTTCACCAGCTCATCCATAGCCTCGTTGGTGGGAGCAAATAATGTGTACGGCCCTGCGAACGTCACATAGTGAGCATATATTAACCAGGATCTGTTGCAGACTTATAATTTCCTAGACAGCGCAGTTATTCATAGACACCGTTTAATAATTCCTCTAAGTTAGGAACACCAGTTCGTCTCACCAGTTCAGGTTATTTGGTTTCAACTAGTTGCAGATAATTTGGCATCACCTGCCGACTCGACTAATGTTCGCTGCGAGTCAAAATAATAATGTCCGTCAAGACAGCCCATATTCAGCCCAGATTCAGCCCGGATTCAGCCCAGATTCGGGACACCTCCGATCAAGCTGAAACTCGCACACAATGTAGGCCATGACATGCCCAATCCACAGTCCAAGTCATTCGGTGGCACTCCCAGCCGTTTGACCTACAGAGGTCAACAAAGGTCACGTGGCCCAAATTTGCACAGCAGATTGTGGCCCACCCAGTAGAGCTAGAGCACTAAAAATGGCACCAATCGACTCGCCAGCATCTAATCTTACTTTCCCAACACTCATTTGACCTCTCAAGGTCATGCGATGACCTAAGGTCATTTGTGGGCTATGTCGAAAATACACTTGCACAGCAGTTTTCGAGTAGATGGATTGACCGAATTCCAAATCAAAGCACATGATCGGGTAGCCCATAGGCCGTAGTAACTTTCCCTAAAAATCGCTTTTCGATATGTGACCCCGTTTGACCTCGGTAGGTCAAAATGTGCAAATAAACGACACTCAATACGTCGCAGCCTGGATTCAGCCCAGATTCGGGACACCTCCGATCAAGCTGAAACTCGCAAACCGTGTAGGCCATGACATGCCCAATCCACAGTCCAAGTCATTCGGTGGCACTCCCAGCCGTTTGACCTACAGAGGTCAACAAAGGTCACGTGGCCCAAATTTGCACAGCAGATTGTATCCCACCCAGTAGAGCTAGAGCGCTAAAAATGGCACCAATCGACTCGCCAGCATCTAATCTTACTTTCCCAACACTCATTTGACCTCTCAAGGTCATGCGATGACTTAAGGTCATTTGTGGGCTATGTCGAAAATACACTTGCACAGCAGTTTTCGAGTAGATGGATTGACCGAATTCCAAATCAAAGCACATCATCGGGTAGCCCATAGGCCGTAGTAACTTTCCCTAAAAATCGCTTTTCGATATGTGACCCCGTTTGACCTCGGTAGGTCAAAATGTGCAAATAAACGACACTCAATACGTCGCAGCCCGGATTCAGTCCAGATTCCGGACACCTCCGATCAAGCCGAAACTCGCACACCGTGTAGGCCATGACATGCCCAATCCACAGTCCAAGTCATTCGGTGGCACTCCTAGCCGTTTGACCTACAGAGGTCAACAAAGGTCACGTGGCCCAAATTTGCACAGCAGATTGTGGCCCACCCAGTAAAGCTAGAGCGCTAAAAATGGCACCAATCGACTCGCCAGCATCTAATCTTACTTTCCCAACACTCATTTGACCTCTCAAGGTCATGCGATGACTTAAGGTCATTTGTGGGCTATGTCGAAAATACACTTGCACAGCAGTTTTCGAGTAGATGGATTGACCGAATTCCAAATCAAAGCACATCATCGGGTAGCCCATAGGCCGTAGTAACTTTCCCTAAAAATGGCTTTTCGATATGTGACCCCGTTTGACCTCGGTAGGTCAAAATGTGCAAATAAACGACACTCAATACGTCGCAGCCCGGATTCAGCCCAGATTCGGGACACCTCCGATCAAGCCGAAACTCGCACACCGTGTAGGCCATGACATGCCCAATCCACAGTCTAAGTCATTCGGTGGCACTCCTAGCCGTTTGACCTACAGAGGTCAACAAAGGTCACGTGGCCCAAATTTGCACAGCAGATTGTGGCCCACCCAGTAGAGCTAGAGCGCTAAAAATGGCACCAATCGACTCGCCAGCATCTAATCTTATTTTCCCAACACTCATTTGACCTCTCAAGGTCATGCGATGACCTAAGGTCATTTGTGGGCTATGTCGAAAATACACTTGCACAGCAGTTTTCGAGTAGATGGATTGACCGAATTCCAAATCAAAGCACATCATCGGGTAGCCCGTAAGCGTTAGTAACTTCCCTTAAAAACTGCTTTTCGATATGTGACCCCGTTTGACCTCGGCAGGTCAAAATGTGCAAATAAACGACAGTCAATACGACGCAGCACGGATTCAGCCCAGATTCGGGACACCTCCGATCAAGCTGAAACTCGCATACAATGTAGGCCATGACATGCCCAATCCACAGTCGAAGTCATTCGGTGGCACTCCCAGCCGTTTGACCTACAGAGGTCAGCAAAGGTCACGTGGCCCAAATTTGCACAGCAGATTGTGGCCCACCCAGTAGAGCTAGAGCGCTAAAAATGGCACCAATCGACTCGCCAGCATCTAATCTTACTTTCCCAACACTCATTTCACCTTTCAAGGTCATGCGATGACCTAAGGTCATTTGTGGGATATGTCGAAAATACACTTGCGTCTTGCACAGCAGTTTTCGAGTAGATGGATTGACCGAATTCCAAATCAAAGCACATCATCGGGTGCCCATAGGCCGTAGTAACTTTTCTTAAAAGCCGCTTTTCAATATGTGACCCCATTTGATCTCGGCAGGTTAACCCGCGCCCTGCTGGGGGGGGGGGGGTGTTTGAACACCCCCCTTGTGGTTTTTCGCGAATATCTCAAAAACGGCGGCGTGGAGCGCCGCCGTTTTTGGTACACCTTATCACACATCAATTCTACACATGTTGTGAAAATTTCAGACCAAGGTCATTCAAGGTCAGGTCACCAGGTCACTTGAAGTGACCTCACCTCATAAAAACTTTCAATGTCTGTCATAGCTACACCGAGTGACCGATCGCTTTGAAACTTTCAGCGATTGCTTAGAGCAATAGCATGTACAAAATGTATATCTCAGAATTTTGATATCGATGACCTAAGGTCAGGTCAATTTTGCGACCTCCCCATTATAAGTCAATGGGAGAAAATTGAAATGCGCCTCTTTTGGATGAAAGACATTATAAACACTCCCAAACACCGAATTACAAGTGGTTTAGACACACTGAACATGAAAATGGTGTCCGTGACCCTTGTTTATGCCCTGAGGTCATCTTAGGTCACGAATGGTATCTAACAGTTTTTCGCAAATAACTTTTGATAGAGGCATGCTAGAGCATATGAAAACGCCTTAGATGTGTTCAGATCGACGATACGGATCGACTGATATGCAACATTACTCTTTCCGGTCAGGTCATGACCTTGACCTGAGGTCAATTTTTCAAGTTGACCTTTCAAGGTCAAGTTATAGTTCATTCGATGCGTCTTGACGAGAGGAACACGATGCCGGCTAAAGTAAGCTCGTGCAAGGCTTGGGTCAAAAGTTATTGCAGAAAAACTGTTTTCGAAAAAATCGGCTATTTTTGCAGTTTTTGCCCCCTGCAGGCAAAACCGTTGACGTTAGGTCAAATCTGAGAGAATTACTCAGAAAGGGCGTTAATAGGGCTATCGAATGCGCTTTTCCGCGGCGCTGTAGCTCTATTGGTTCCCAAGTTATGCGTTGGCTTCTTGGAAATTTTCGACATTCGACCTGGAAATCGGCGAAATTTTGCCTTCAATGACCTCTGGTGACCTGACCTTTGACCTGACCAAAAAATTGACCGAAGTGATTTCGTCATTATTTTTGACGCTCTTTCGAACGCCGCCTTCCGCGTATCGCTACGTGGCCCAGGAGCCGAGTTCCAAGGGGGGGGGGGGGTGTTCAAACACCCCCCCCCCAGCAGGGCGTGGAAATCCAGGACCCCCAGCCGGGCGCGGGTTAAAATGTGCAAATAAACGACACTCAATGCGTCGCAGCCCGGATTCAGCCCAGATTCGGGACACCTCCGATCAAGCTGGAACTCGCACACAATGTAGGCCATGACATGCCCAATCCACAGTCCAAGTCATTCGGTGGCACTCCCAGCCGTTTGACCTACAGAGGTAAGCAACCTGACCAACCTGAAGCAACCTGGGCCACGTGACATTTGCTGACCTCTGTAGGTCAAACGGCTGGGAGTGCCGCCGAATGACTTGGACTGTGGATTAAGCATGTCATGGCCTACATTGTGTGCGATTTTCAGCTTGATCAGAGGTGTCCCGAATCTGCGCTGAATCCGGGCTGCGACGTATTGAGTGTCGTTTATTTGCACATTTTGACCTGCCGAGGTCAAACGGGGTCATATATCGAGAAGCGGTTTTTAAGGAAAGTTATTACGGCCTATGGGCCGTTATTACGGCCTATGGATGATGTCTTTTGATTTGGAATTCGGTCAATCCATCTGCTCGAACACTGCTGTGCAAGTGTATTTTCGACATAGCCCACAATGACCTTAGGTCATCGCATGACCTTGAGAGGTCAAATGAGTGTTGGGAAAGTAAGATTAGATGCTGGCGAGTCGATTAGTGCCATTTTTAGCGCTCTAGCTTTACTGGGTGGGCCACAATCTGCTGTGCAAATTTGGGCAACGTGACCTTTGCTGACCTCTGTAGGTCAAACGGCTGGGAGTGCCACCGAATGACTTAGACTGTGGATTGGGCAATGGGCATGTCTTGGCCTACATTGGCTGGGGGGATCCGTGCTATCGTAAGTTATATCGGACGTGGCTGCGAAACTTCTCTCGGTACGAAACTTCTCTTGATCGGAAGAAAATCGGAGGGATGAAAAAGAAAGAGCGGCAAATCGGAGCTACGTTGTACGTAAGTTGTTTCGCAGCGTTTAAATGCCAGTTTTACTACGATTTAAATGCCAAGCAGATCAGCTGACCTCGTAGTACCATGTCGATAAGGTCGAATTCTCATACGTCTATAGTGTAAAAGTGACCCTTATTGCAAATAGGCTGTCAGGGACATCTCCTCCTCTGTAAACTTGGAGGGATCATGTGTCGGCATTCCTATGTTCGTTTCGGAGTCCATCTGTTCCATTTGGAGCCCGTCAGTTGGCGTCAAGAGTTGGCGCAGCGAGCG